TTCATAAAACGCGTCGCTAGGTGTGTTGCCTTGGCATATGCAATCCCTTGTTAAGAGCGCATATTCGGTCTCGGTGTAGGCCTAGGCGGAGACGTATCGGACGAGGAATATCAGCATAAACGGTTGGACAAAGGTGCTTTTGCTGCTGTCCAGCCGCCGGAAGCCAGTCGTAGATTGGGCTCATCTCGGTTCGGCCCGAGTGGTGGTTGTACCGGTTGTGCCGGATCACCTCACGCCTTTAGTCAGGCTTGCACATGCCAGCCTCTCTGGTCGCAGCGTCAATCTGTCTCGCCCACTTTGTGCTTCCCAGCCTGTCCATCCCACACCGTCGGACCGTTGCCAGGTTTCGTCGAGTGCACACTTTCGTGTCTCTCTCTCTCTCTCTTTCAGACTGCGGGATCGGCCGGAGTGAATTGGACAGTGTTGCCGTCACCTCGCTTGGCCACACGTTAACACCACATCGTCAGGGTGAGGGATACCAGTCGGAGGGAGAGTCACACGTGTCTGCTTGTCGGGCGATACAGTCACACACACGAGCCGTTCTGAGAGCCAGAGGTGCCAAGAGATTCCGAGGCTTCCAGATGACGGCAGACGTGTTGACCAATTGGCCCAGCAACCAATAAGATAATGCCTCGATCAACCGAACGCCGACACTCTTGTCTATCTCGTCTGTCGCAAGGGCAACGTTATGGCAAACTCTCGTCGACAAGTTGAGCCGGTTCACGGCGAATCCCACCCATTGCCGCGAAACCCAACCAATCGGCCCAATTTGACCCAACTCGGCGCAGCTGCCCAGCACGACTGTAGCCTCCACGATGTGTGTAGTACAGGTTGAGGATAGTCGGAATGATGATGAGTTGATGGCAAGATGACCTCAAAAAGTGATCGGCCGAAGCAGCATCACCACCAGTCGTTGTGGAGTGAAGAAGATGACTCCGACAACCGTGGAGGCCAGTGACCAAGACGAGTCAGCAACACATCCAAGGCCCACATAACATTCCATCTTGTTTGTGTGTGTGTGTGAATACTGACCTTTCTAAAGTCGGCCAACTTGCCGGACAAGTCATCCTCCGGTCAACATGAGGCAACTTGGCTGTCCGAGAGGTCGGGCCTACTTAAGCCGAATGGCTTTGCACGGGCAGGCCTCGAAAGGCATGGGCAACCTGTCATGTTTGGACTGGACCTGCTTGTCGATGGGAGGAGGCATGACCTCGTCGGTGGGCTGCAAATGAGATGCCTATCTCTCTGGCCCCAGTGGATTTAGGAGTCTACGACTGGGCGCCAGAATGAGTCTTCAAGTCACGCTTTCACCGGGTTACCATGACGCTCTGTTACCCTCAGCTTCCGCAACTCAAGAGACGATCGGAGATATGAAGACCAAGATGGTGTGGTCCTCTCGATGTATAGACGTGGGTTGACCTTGCTTTCTCAACTTGATCTTGTTGTCAGGGCGACTTAGTTGGACACAGCATGTCCGAAGTCATCTGCCATAGAAGTTATCATAAGTCTCAGTGTCCGACCGTGGACTTGGCATATTCTCACGGAGTGACGCTGGGACTTATGATAACTGCTATGGCAGAGGACTTCGGACAAGTCGCCCTGGCAACAAGATCAAGTTGAGAAAACGAAGTGAACCCACTTCAAGAGACGATCGTTTGGAGCGACAAGAGCATAGTGAAAACATTGTTGTTCGTCTATAAGACTACCGGTATATCATACTTATGATAAGTATTCATTCTGTTGTTTAAGGCGATGAAGAATTGGTTTTTAAATAGTCCCACAATCACATAAGTAGACCAAGTGTTTCCATTGAATTTCGCAAAAGATATTCTTATCTAGACTGGACTGGACTGCAGTTTCGACCCCGTCCAGGCCTTATAAACACCGCCGGTGGGACTCGAACTTGAGTTTTGGTCGTGCAGCGTATAATCTCTACATGTTAACCACTACCCCAAACTGTCACGATTGGCCTTGGGTCACAGGGTTGATAGGAATTTAACAAAAGGCCAGACATTTTACCAACTCACATTCTGTGTTGTGGGACTGC